GTCATCAATCATTCTCCCATTATAGTTTAATATAATACGTTTCTGTAAGGTAAACAAATTTTATAGTATCCAGTTATTGTTATATACCATGTCTGCCCCTGTTCCTCCATTTGTAATTATTTAGTCCTGCACAAAGATTTGGAAACCACAGTTTTATGGAATGTAAGATGGCAATAGTTGAAGGTTTAAACTAGTGACTCTCTGCAGATGGGGTCTGAGTGCCAATCTTGCTTCCTATGTTTGAAGATTTTGATTGTCATAATGGTGAAGGGCAGTACTGTCATCTAACGGGTAGCAGGGATGTTGCTAACCATCCTAATCCACAGTGCAGCCCCCTCACAGGACAGAGAAATTCAGCTTAAAATATCAGTAGTGACCAAGTCAAGAAACACTGCTGTACACTGATGTTACAAGATGTTCGCATTTTTTATTCCAGTTGTATTCAATTAGAATTGTACATATCCTTATTCATTAATAAAGCAAGTAGGAATATTAGAATATTTGCCTATCAAAATTAGTCAAATAAATATGAAAGTAATATCTAATAATAAACTTCTCATTTATATCTACTCCTTCTCTAGCAATTAATTTGTGCAAATAAGTCTCTGAAATTTCTGAGAAACTAGAATTTAATTCTAATGTCATGAGCTCTAAACAGATCGTAATGGCATTTAACCCTCTTACAGCACCCAGCAGAGCTATAGAGCTCCAATAATGCTTTTAAGGATGGTGGCAGTATGAAAGTATCAATGCAATAAATAATAATTAACTATGCTAAATTACAGCATGTAAAAGTAGACTTATCTAATTCTCATCCTATTTTCTGTACTGTTTACTCTTCTGCTTGATATGTGGGAGCAGCTTGTGAATTTTAAACTATCCCATTTCACCTGTGCATATGTCAGCAATGCAAATATAATGATTTCTCTGAACTTGACAACTGGTTTCTATTGAAAAAAATCATTTGTCATGAATGGTCAGAAATATTACATTTTTTGTTATTTCAACTATGAATAGAATATGTTCTCTTAACTCCCAAATTTTGCCAGTCTGTTTTTGGTGCTTTAAAAAACTTTTTTTTTTTTTCTGGGCTGGGGTTGTAGCTCAGCAGTAGAACACTTGCTTAGCAAGTGTGAGGTGCTGAGTTCAATCCTCAGCACACATAAAAATAAATAAATAAAATAAAGGTATTATGTCCAACTACAACTAAAAAATATATATATTAAAATAAATAAATAAATAGTTTCTGTTACACAGTGCATGACTATAAGTAGCTTGCATTTTATGGTCACTTGCCTGAGATCCCATATGTCATAATTATTTGGTGAAAATATTTTTTTAATCCTTTGATTACTTCATTATATTTCCACACAATTCTTCTATGTATCCTAAGCATATGGCTCTTTATCTTTGGTTAATAGGCCTTTATTTTAAAACCACTTAAATAATTACATACTGCTTCTCAAATTTGAACATATTATGTATTATTTTATGTCTAGACATATTGATAGCAATGGTAATACTACTTTGTAAAAATGCCTTAATATACAGAATACATTTAATACAGAAGGTTCTAAACCAATTAAAATGTCCTGTGACACACATGCACAGTCGTAGCTTGTATTGCACAGACACACATTTGGTTTACATTCTACATTCAGCCTCTTCAAGAAAGGACATCATAGGCCTTCTGTTTCTGCAACAGTACCCAATAATCTATAGACTTCAAAGCCATGAATAATTTAACCAACTAATATTACTGGGAGAAAATTGCAGGGGAATTCTAGTAAGCTACACTTAATTTTCAGATTTGGTAATTCAAAGATAAAAAGCTCTTTCTTCTGTGAAAAGCGTAAACAGAATCATTTGGGTTGACAGGTACTTTGGGTCTTCCTGGCACTGCATCTCAAAGATTAAGACATCTCTAGAAATTAGAGCGCTAATTCATCTCCAAATCACCATGGTCTTTGTAACCATTTTATCCCTTAGGGGTTAGAGATGTCAGCTCTCCAACAGATGCAAGCCTTTAATCTTTCTATCAGATAAACCTGAGAGTAAGTTTGCTCCTACCAGAAAAGTTGATGACTACAGAAAGTTGAAAATTGATTCTAATATAAGCATGATTGTAGCTCCAAATTCCACCCAACTTATCATTTATTCTGCCCCCGGTCTGTGAGCAGGACTTCTGTCTGTAACTTTAGGCTTATTTTCCTGCTGTCCATAGTTCTATCCATGTTTTTCCTCTAGTCAGAGAGCGCCATCCCAGAACTAATTCCACTAATCCCCTACAGATCTGGGAGAACATTTGACAGCCTTTAGTGTATGTGGAAAGGAAAAGAATTCTCAAAGTTCCAGTTAGCAATGTCTCCATGATTTTCAAAGATGTCATTTGATAACCAAAATGCAAAAGACTCCACAATATTCAAATGAGAAAACATTTCGTTAGGAGCCCATTAAATACCACGCATTTTTCCTGGAGATGCAAAGATTAAAAACATACAGTCCCTTCCCAGTTGGAATTGTGCTTTCATCATGCTAAAAATGCATTATGTATTTGAAATTCAAGCAGCTTTAAAACCTGTTTTAAAAGGTAGTGTATATAGAGCACATTAAAGTTCTATAAGAAAGGGAAAAGGAAAAATTGTCTGAGAATGAACAAAGCATTAAAATTTGGGTATGGAACTTTATAAAATGTCGCTTTTCCTTGCAAAGGATTCACCTAATTGGTATCTAAGCTTTGTAAAACACTCCTTGGACACTCATTGAAACACCATCCGTTGTCAAAGGAAGGCATCCTTTTATGAAGGGAGATGATTAGAGAAGCACATGCTTCTACAAGGTACATAGACAATTAATCTTAAAGTGATTACATATCCAAGTACCTTACTACAAACAGATGAAAGAAGCAAAATATGAAATCACACAGTGGTTCCCTCAGTTTGGCAGACCTGCCTGTGTAGTGCATGACCAACCTGAAAACACATGCTGGAAATTCCAAAATAGGAGGCCAATATCATAGAAAACAAGTCCTGTAATGTGAAATACAGCCATTTCCTAAATGTTCTTAATTTGCCTGTCTGTGACCACATTTCTAAACCTGAATTATTAGGACTGGGGATGGCAGAGTGCTTGCCTAGAATGTGGAAGCCCTGGGTATGAGCCTCAGCATCTAAGTGAATAAATAATTTAATAAAATTTAATAAATAAACTGTCATTATTTTTATTTTAACAAGGCCAAAGTGACCAATTTTTGTTTACAGTCTTCTGCTTTTTTTGGTGGTTTAAAGTTAAAAGGAATTACAGTGTTGAGAACACAAAACAATTAGAAATTATGGAGGCACTTTTTTTTATTATGATACAGAACATACGATAAACAAGAATACACCTTGTCTCAAATCAACTGAAGACATATCCCTGTTTTCTGTATTATGTATTCTATATCTTAACAATGGCAAAAAAAATTCATGAAAATCAGTTGTTATGCTGCATATTTGCGTGAAATATGTTCCTATAGCTTGCGTTTTTGTTCACTGGGACAAATTAGTTAAAGAAGTATAAACCTCAATTGATATAATTATAAAATAGTTTTTTAAACTAATGTTAATGTTATGAAATTTTGTGTCCACTGTGATTGATGGATAATAGTGGAAGATTGCATCTATCCAGTCCTGTTTCTTTAGAAAGTTCTCAGATGGTTTTATTTATGTGCTGCAGATTGCCTTAGCTTTGCCCTTTAGCACCACCTGGTGGAAAAAATATTATTTCTTTCTCTAGTTTAAAACAGCCCCTTCATACTTCATACTTAATTAAGACATATGTTAATAGATAATTAATGGTAAAAGTTACATCTTAAAGTCAATTTTAAACAAAATAAACTTAAAATTATATGAGGTTTTTGCTAACTATGATGGTCAACATAATGACATCTGAGGGCTTTGCTTTTTAATTAACACATAAGATTTATACAAATTTATGGTGTGGTATTTTTTGTGGTATTTTATAGTGTGGTATTTCAATACATGTACATAGTATGCACTGATCAAATCGGGGTAATTTGTATTTCTGTTTCACTATTTCTTTATGTTTGGAGTCTTTAACCTCCTTTCTTCTAGGTTTCCATAAAACACATAACAGGATAACATAAACTGCACCCTCCTATACCATAGAACACTAGAACCTACTTCTCTGACCCATGTTTTGATGCCCATTATCCAGTTTCCTGCAACTCCCTCCCCCTTCCAGTCTTGAGTAAATACTTTTCCACTTTCAGTTTGACCTTTCTAGCTTCTACACATGAGAGAGATCCTGTGGTACTTGTCTATGTTTATAAGTAGTTGAAGTTTTTTAAAACTTCATGAATATATACAGATGTGAATAGTATTTTACACTTCAATGAAAAAAATTGCTTTTCCACATTTTAATTATTTATCATTTTTAATAAAATATTAAATAAAACTAGGAAGTTTCCTATACCAAACCAGCAAATTGTGTTTTAAATTGGATTGTCTACCCAAAATGCAGCTAATTAATTTATTTATAATGCTATCTATGAAAAATTTTCATACTATGAATTTTTACCATATTATTATTTTATGGAAAAATAAAATTAAAGATGGCATTTCAATCTATATTACTACCAAATAAGTCATTTTTATGTTCATTTGCCCACACAGAAACAAAATTGAGTTGTGTTATATGTGTTACTTCTCAGTGTTTTGTTTTTTTTTTTAATTCTAAGTAGTTATATATGACAGTAGAATGCATTTTGACACATTATACATAAGTGGAGTATAACTACTTTTGAGCAGTTAATAGGTTTTTTTTTAATTTCCCAGAAGATAATATTTTTAACTGAGAAATACAAATATATTTAAAGCTAGTTTTGAGAATTTTGAACATGTTAATTATTGTACAGTCCCATAGCAATTCTACTATGTTCCTATGTTATAACTTCAAGAAAACACTTGAAATCTCTTTCTCTTTTTTCCTTTTATCTAAAGGCCTTGGATGGTATACTGTAAACTCAGCCTATGGAGATACCATTATCATGCCTTGCCGACTCGATGTACCTCAGAACCTCATGTTTGGCAAATGGAAATATGTAAGTGTGACCTATCTGGGAACTGCTTAATTGCTTCCTGTTTTATGGTTTCATGGAGTATACAGGTCTACCATATACTCCCCATGGAATTTTGGGCAAGTGAAATAAACTCTATTTTTTCATTATGAAGTGAAATAATATCTTCCTTGTTATGTTATGGTGAGGACTACATGAAGTAATTCACATCAGAATACTTACTAGTGCTTGGCGTGTGGTGATTTCTTGTGAAAGTAAGCTCTCAAGACTGTAGGGATGCAAAGTCCCACCCAATTTTGCTTGTGTAAAGGCCATGAGAAAGGAAAGGAAGGCAAGGCAGCACACCACTTCCCTAGATCTTCCTCTATTGTGCAGTTCACTATAGGTGACTTTCAGATATTTGCAGTTTCCTATAAATATGGAAATGTGAAGTCCAGGCTTATAAAGACAATATTTATTAGCATCCCCAATAATCTAACAGCATGGGTGTCTACCATATAATTCACCTGCTGAATCAAATTCACTGTCAAAATAAATGGAATCAAGTGAAAAATATTTTCTCTTATCATGGAAAAATCTAACTGTAATCCAGGGAGTATTTTTCACCTAAACTGAGCTGGCACAGCAGAATTAGAAACCAATCAAGAATGGCAAATTTGAAATTGTTAGTGAAGTGGAAAGCTCTGGCAAACCCATCAGTTGCATTTAAGGTACTGTGTGCTCCGAAGTCAGACTTGATCAGTACCTGTAGTACACATGCTCTAATTTAACATGAGCACCTGAAAGACAAGTGGACGGTGTGGAAAAAGTGAAAGAAAACATGATAGGATAGGCCAGTTTCTCGCCATCACAGCTCCCAGTGAATGGAGATCACAGGCCCTGTTCACTCCTCCCAACTCCACTCTCTCCACCTCTTCATTAGCATCTGCCACAGGGCCTGCCATAGGAGAGTTATCTCACCATTATCAAGTATTATCATAAAGAAACCAGGCTGCTGAGCTCAGCTCTCAGCTTTATCAGTAGAGACCTTGAAAGTTATCTAACCAAACCCTACTTTCATTATCTAATCTGTAAATGAGACTAATACTGCACTTTAACTTACAGGGTTGTTATGAACATTAAGTCAATTAATTACTGTGTAGAAAGCCCAAATAAAGTACCAGCTATGTAATTAAGTACTAAAATATTAATAATTATTATTTATTACATAAAGGAATGAATATAGAAACTAACATATATCCCATAATGAAGGAATGATTGAAGGCAAAGATTTGCACTATAACCCTGTGATAAAACTAAAAGATTTAGGAGGAATATTATTAATGTATTCAGATATTTAAGAAGTTAAAACTTTTGGACTCCAAGATAAGCTTAGTAGCTTAGTAACTCATTTTTATAATATAAGTCTCCATGAATTTGCCATGATTTTAACATGTTTTATCAAACTTTACTTTTTTTCAAAAGCCTTATGAGGTAAGTAAAGGAGAGCTTGGTCCCTGTTTTCAACTAAATTACTTACTAGGTAAGAGAATTTTTGTTGAACAGGGAAAGAATTATGTCATGTGTCTCTGTTCCAGGCATCATTTTATATGCCAGATTATATCATATTTTGATAATGTTTTCATAGGGAAGCCTTTTGAGTTGAGTTTTTATAATGCAAATAGCAGAATTATGGATGGTAGTGGTTAATCTGAGTCTTGCTTAATGGACGTGATTGTTTTACAAGAGTAAATACTGTTCCTCTGTGAAGACTATTAAAGGACATGCTGTGTAAAGATCAGCCACATCAGCTCTGGTTGAAAGATGTGCACATTTGAAGAATGGAGATTAAAGTAAGGAATATGCCAGAGATAACTGCCCAGGATATCTAAACCACTATTTTCAATTCAAGCATATGACTGCTGTGATGGTTTTCTAAACATCATTTTATATACTCATGTGTTTGCTTTTTTCTATTTTACACTAAACATAAGACTGGCCGTCATCAGTTTCAAAGAAGTCACCAATTCTGTCCTCCAGATGTGAGAAAAGCTCAGATTCCAAGAGCTCACTTTTTCATTTTCACACATTTCAACCAATACCTATAAAGGAACCTATGGCTCTAATTCTTATGAAGTGATTTTCTGTAAACAAAGGTCTATGTGAAGCTTGTATAAAAAATTATTCTTGGTCAAAAAGTATACATATTAGTGAACTAATGTGATGAAGGAAATTTGTTGCTTTATATACTTCTAAAATGTTGGAATACACTAGTCTTTTAAATTTATTATTATTTTAATTTTTAGGAAAAGCCTGATGGCTCTCCAGTATTTATTGCCTTCAGGTCCTCTACAAAGAAAAGTGTGCAGTATGATGATGTACCAGAATACAAAGACAGACTGAGCCTCTCGGAAAACTACACCTTGTCTATCAGCAATGCAAAGATCAGTGACGAAAAGAGATTTGTGTGCATGCTGGTGACTGAGGACAACGTATTTGAGGCACCTACAGTAGTCAAGGTGTTCAGTAAGTAGTCTGTAGAGTAACTGCTAAGTGGGATTAAAGGCTGGTACTTGAACATTTTTCTTTTAGTAAAAAGACTGATCTCTGTAATGTCTCTACAGCAGGCATCTATGTAAGAGGATTTCTAGAGATCTTCCTTCTGCTCATCCACGCTGTCAGGAAGGAAAACAAAGTCTAAAATTCAAATAGGAAATTTGCAGTGAGGAACTAAAAGCTCTGTTGTTTTGTCATGAAAAATTTTATGAGACACAGAGTAGTACAAGTGATAACTGGCATATAGTCTCTAACTTTCACTGATGTGTACAAATAAGTGTTCTGTGAAATATACAGATATATTAACACACATATGGTTATGAATATCATGCATACATATACATGGATTGGGTTGAAAGATAAAATTTTACCATTTTAATACATAAAAACAAGAAAACACAAATTCAAACTATCTTATGACTTAGAGATCTAAGCTTTCAATTTGCATATATACATATATATATTACATATACTAATATATCAGGGGAGATATATATATATCTCCCCTGATCCTGGTTTCTAATGCTTATTTAAACTTCAAAATAGTCACTTTGTTTAGAAAATTATTCTAAAATAAAAAGCTTAGCACATCACAAATGACTGTGGGGGTGCGGCACCTCATGGAGAGAAAATAGAGTAGGGTTGGAAGTAAAGAAAATTATGGAAGAAACTTAGCTAATTACTATAGTCACTATGGCAAAGTTATTTTGCTTAATAATAATGTATAGTTAATGTTACTGTGCAAATAACTATGCAAATAAATGACTTGAGAAGTTATAATTAGAGCATTTCATCTTTTAAAATTCAAATAAAAAAAAAATAAAAAGTCCCACCTCAGTTACATCATGTTCTAGCAATTACAGGAGGAAATATAAGTATGAAAAATTTCAGAATGCCAATTCTTTTTAATTAGGGAATAAGGTCTCACTTTCCAACTTTTTTTCCTTTGCTTTCTGATAACTTGGCAGCACCTAAAAATTATTAAAATAAATAGTGAAGAAACTCAGAGGGCCTCCAACCACAGCTAGTAACCATGGATTTCCCAGTTATCTTCTAATAACCTGTGCAACTAAGTAGGTCTGTCCCGTAAGTATTTATGTAAACTTCAAAGAGCCTATGGGTTCATGGTGTGGACTCAAAGAGTGCTTATACTATCAAAGGGAGCCTTTGTTCTCAAGAAGAACCTTGTAAAGGCATATTACATGTTTCAGTTGATTAGCTTTTGCCTTAGAGGGCACTTTCGGGAAACCATCCACATCTCGATCATTATATGCATCAAACCAAGTACAGGTGTTTGCCAGTCAGGCCGACTTCCATGAAACACAAGAAATAATTAATTTCCATTTGATTTGTCATGGCCCATGCCCTTTCTTTCATTTATTCTATTTCATATTCATATTATTTAGAAAAATGGATAATTGCAATGCTCAGGACACATTTTCCGAAGAGAAAAACCAAAATATATTTATTATAGCCCATGATATCATAAATATTAACAAGATATCCAGAATGTACCATAGTGGCCACCCAAATAATTATTTATATTAATTTTTCATTTTCAGGCTTTTTAAAAATAATGTGTTAAGCTTACTCAATAACAAGAGAATAGAGAATGAAGTTGAAAATGTCTGGGTTGTTACATTTAGAAGCATCATTTGTGACATTTTCCAAAATTGCCCTTAAAAAAAATGCCATACAGAAATCTTTAAAAAAAAAAAATTCATTTGGTCTATTCAATAAAATCTGTAAGCTGTTCTAGAACACAGAGGATTCCTATGATTGTGAAAACACACTCACACCCCAGAAACTTCGAGCACCCCAGCCCCCTTCTCTTTTGAATGTTGTTGAAAACAAAGCCATTCTCAGAAACAAAATTTGCATTCCAGGCTGTGGGCCAGGGAGAATTTACACAGACAAGTTACACACTCTTGAAATGGTGTTTTATACTAGAAATCATGAGATCTTCCAAATTCAATAAAATGAACAACATAGGTCATGATAAAGACAGTGTTTGCAAGATCATATAGGGGCCTTTCCTTCCTTCCTTCTTTCCTTTCTTTCTTTCATTCTTTCTTTCTTCTAATAATGAATTTACTTTGGGTCACTTTGTGTGAAGCAAACAGCAGCTGTGACAGGCTGACTTTCATTCTGTGCATGTATATATTGCAGTCACTTAAGAGTTACTAGGCTCATCAATCAGTCCTCTGTTTCCCTCTGTTGAATCACCTAGCAACGTGCACCATGTACCACAAAATTGACTGTGGCTTATGTGAGCCAATTCCAGATCAGCCTGCTATGGACTGCCATCCTCATGGGCAAAGTCAAATTGATTTTATTCGAACGAGAAGCCCTAACTAATGACTTTACCTGCAAGTAGGTTTCTTTGTTTAATTTTAAGTTGTACTTCAGATGCAAGAAATCATACTTATAAACCAGCCCAAGAACAAATAAGTGATAGGCTTTATCACCACTCATCAGCTTTGGTTTTTGTTTTTGCTTTGGCTGAATAGCATCAAAATCATACTGTGTTTGTATTTACTGCACATTTGAGGTTGATAAAACCATTCGGAACCAAAAGGAGACCTTTAAAACTTTCCAAAGAGTCATTCCAATGATTGTGCAAAAGACGTAGAGGTCAAATAGGTGTCCAGAGAGCCAAACAGCTGTCAGTGGTGAAATGGAAAAATCACTGAGCTGGTCACAGACGACCTTGCTTTGTCAGAGCTGCTATTAATTTCTGACCTTGGATAAGTCTCTTCTCCAGTCTGGGGTTGATAGCCTCATCAGTAAAATGAGTGCTTTAGATTAGATGGAAGGTTTTTCCTTCTGTTTACTATGATCCTTTTCAAACACACACACAAAAAAGAGGGTTTGGGAAGGTAAGGAGCAGCTGTTATTCAGTTTGCTAGAATTCTTTTTTTTTTTTTTTTTTTTTTTTTTTAATTTTTTATTGTTGGCTGTTCAAAACATTACATAGTTCTTGATATATCATATTTCACAATTTGATTCAAGTGGGTTATGAGCTCCCATTTTTACCCCATATACAGATTGCAGAATCACGTCAGTTACACATCCATTGATTTACATATTGCCATACTAGTGTCTGTTGTATTCTGCTGTCTTTCCTATCCTCTACTATCCCCCCTCCCCTCCCCTCCCCTCCCCTCCCCTCTTCTCTCTCTGCCCCCTTTACTGACATTCGTTTGTCCCCCTTGTATTATTTTTCCCCTTCCCCTCACTTCCTCTTGTATGTACTTTTGTATACCTCTGAGGGTCTCCTTCCATTTCCATGCATTTTCCCTTCTCTCTCCCTTTCCCTCCCACCTCTCATCCCTGTTTAATGTTAATCTTCTTCTCATGCTCTTCGACCCTACTCTGTTCTTAGCTACTCTCCTTATATCAAAGAAGACATTAGACATTTATTTTTTAGGGATTGGCTAGCTTCACTTAGCATAATCTGCTCTAATGCCATCCATTTCCCTGTAAATTCTATGATTTTGTCATTTTTTAATGCAGAGTAATACTCCATTGTGTATAAATGCCACATTTTTTTTATCCATTCATCCATTGAAGGGCATCTAGGTTGGTTCCACAGTCTAGCTATTGTGAATTGTGCTGCTATGAACATCGATGTAGCAGTGTCCCTGTAGCATGCTCTTTTTAGGTCTTTAGGGAATAGACCGAGAAGGGGAATAGCTGGGTCAAATGGTGGCTCCATTCCCAGCTTTCCAAGAAATCTCCATACTGCTTTCCAAATTGGCTGCACCAATTTGCAGTCCCACCAGCAATGTACAAGTGTACCCTTTTCCCCACATCCTCGCCAGCACTTGTTGTTGTTTGACTTCATAATGGCTGCCAATCTAACTGGAGTGAGATGGTATCTTAGGGTGGTTTTGATTTGCATTTCTCTGACTGCTAGAGATGGTGAGCATTTTTTCATGTACTTGTTGATTGACTGTATGTCCTCCTCTGAGAAGTGTCTGTTCAGGTCCTTGGCCCATTTGTTGATTGGGTTGTTTGTTCTCTTATTGTCTAATTTTTTGAGCTCTTTGTATACTCTGGATATTAGGGCTCTATCTGAGGTGTGAGGAGTAAAGATTTGTTCCCAGGATGTAGGCTCTCTATTTACCTCTCTTATTGTATCTTTTGCTGAGAAAAAACTTTTTAGTTTGAGTAAGTCCCATTTGTTGATTCTAGTTATTAACTTTTGTGCTATGGGTGTCCTATTGAGGAATTTGGAGCCCAACCCCACCGACTGTAGATCGTAGCCAACTTTCTCTTCTATCAGACGGCGCGTCTCTGATTTGATATCAAGCTCCTTGATCCATTTTGAATTAACTTTTGTGCATGGCGAGAGAAAGGGATTCAGTTTCATTTTGTTGCATATGGATTTCCAGTTTTCCCAGCACCATTTGTTGAAGATGCTATCCTTCCTCCATTGCATGCTTTTAGACCCTTTATCAAATATAAGATAGTTGTAGTTTTGTGGATTGGTTTCTGTGTCCTCTATTCTGTACCATTGGTCCACCCGCCTGTTTTGGTACCAGTACCATGCTGTTTTTGTTACTATTGCTCTGTAATATAGTTTGAAGTCTGGTATCGCTATACCGCCTGATTCACACTTCCTGCTTAGCATTGTTTTTGCTATTCTGGGTCTTTTATTTTTCCATATGAATTTCATGATTGCTTTCTCTATTTCTACAAGAAATGCCGTTGGGATTTTGATTGGCATTGCATTAAACCTATAGAGAACTTTTGGTAATATCGCCATTTTGATGATGTTAGTTCTGCCTATCCATGAACAGGGTATATTTTTCCATCTTCTAAGATCTTCTTCTATTTCTCTCTTTAGGGTTCTGTAGTTTTCATTGTATAAGTCTTTCACCTCTTTTGTTAGGTTGATTCCCAAGTATTTTTTTTTTTTTGAAGATATTGTGAATGGAGTGGTTGTCCTCATTTCCATTTCAGAG